CCGGCGGCCGGCCGCCTCACGGCCGCGCCATGGCCCCGCGGGCTGCGGAGCGGGCTCGCGCGCGGCAGTGGGTCTTCCTCCGGCCCCGCTCGGCCCGACGCCGGCCGGCGCTCGCTGCCTACCTCAGGCCTCGGCCTGGCCCCGCCGCCCCGGGCCCATTGTTTTCCGCGCCGCCGTCGCCGCCATCTTAAAATTGTTTTCAGGGCTCTCGGAAGAGGGCGGGGCCCCGGCAGGCGACCCCGGCGTCACTGCTGATTAACAGGGACTGCGACCAATCAGAGGAGGAAGAGCAGGCCGCCCGAGGGGTGGGGGCAAGCACGCCGGAGGCGCAGAGGGGTTCCCGAGCAGCGCTTAAAAGGAACCCTCCAGTGAGTGGCGGGCCTCAGTCCTGGGCACCGAACCTAGTGGGACTGATCGGAGCCCGTCCTGAGCACCGCCCCCCGCAGGCGGGCCCTTCCGGGTCTGCGGTGGAGAGCCGGGCAGTCGACCCCGTGCAACTGGCCAGACCCAAACGCCGCCCGGCACCACAGGGCTTCATCATTCTCATTGGCAGCCGTTCTGAATTCGGCTTTGATAAACTCAGAAAGTAGCCACGCTTTTTCAGTATCAGCTGTTTTTCTTCGACCTCATTCCTTACATCTAGCTTCATAATTGGTCAGAATTGTCCACGAGTGACCTGGAAAAGGTTTCCTCTTGCACCATTCTGAATCGAGACTGTCGATTTCCACTTTACATAAAAATTTGAACAAGTTTCTCAAGTTCAGTTACTGCTTACCAAAAAATAAATAAATAAATAAAAATAAGAGCCCTAACGTATGTGAGGAGTGTGTGGAAGTCTAACCAGTCAAAAACGGAGCCTGGCCTACAGCCTTACATTTAAAAGGTAAGTGCTACGTAAAATCGTGTCAACACTCAACAAAATCCAACCAGAGGCAATCACGCGCTAGTATTATAGCTAGTAGGCAAAGCGGGTGGAAGCCTAGGAAAACAAACCTGGAGCAATGAGTTAGCAATAAAACTAGATAGCTTGTGGTGAACCAAGAGTTATTAGGAACCCTAATTGCTAAAAAAGTTGCAGGGAGGTTTGAGCCCCCAACAGCTCAAGCATTTGTTAAAGTAACTTTTTACAAGGGCCGACGAAAACATTTTATTTTAAAATCGGGGGAAAAAAGTCTTTATTCAAATAGTATTTTTTATACAAATGCAGTACAAAACAAAAAAGAAAATACAAGTGGCCCACCAAGGCGAACGTTTTGTGTAGGGCTTGCAAATGCCCTAAGGTGGTCCTGCTTTTTACCAGTCTTCAAACATAAATTTTACACCATTGAATTAAACGATTTCTTTCCTAATAGAAAATAGTAACTAGGAACACATTTTGTGTACTTCTCTTCAGTAAGCAATCCAAAAGTCTAATAACAGTACATTAAAAAGTTGCATCCTGGGCCTGCGAATTGGTTAAGAATTGGCTTGGGACAGCCAGCTCTGAGCAGCAGGACCCCGGTTGGGAGCCCATGTGGGCCAGTGAAGCTGCGCCCTCTGCAGCTAAGATGGTGAACAACAGCTCAACCTGGAGCTGGGCTGCCATAAGCTGCCAGTGAAGGACTGTAGGCTGCATGCAGCCCCTGCTGCAGTGGGAAGCCAACGTGAGCAGCTGGCAGCCGGCGTGAGTGACCATCCAGCGACTGCCTCACTTGGGAAGAGCGCAATGCTAATACCAACATGGGCCAGTGAAGCGACATCCTCCACAACTGAAGTGAAGAACAAAAGGACAGCAACTTATCTGTTCCCCTCCCTCAATTCCCCAATCTTAAAAAAATCTTTAAAAAAAGTTTCATGCTAACTTTCAAAACCTCCCTGAAATATGTAAAACATGAAGTCTGATTCTGAACAAAGATTTATTTTCTAACACAAATTTTAAAGTTCAACGGTTCCCACAAGTCTTAAAGAATATTATCCATAAATTACCCTCCCTTTCTGAGCTATTATCCCAATGACACAACAGAAACTACTGAACCCCAACCCAGAAGGAAAAGGAGGCAAAACCTACACTGAACTGATTGGATCCAGTCCACATGATGAGCTGGCTTTCCATATCAGAGTTCCACATCCTCAAATTCAACTAACCACCAAGGATCAAAAATATGGAAAACAAGTTATATTGTTGCTGACACCTGTTCCATGTAGTTAGGCCTAAGATGGTTGCTGGTCGCACCTGTACTGAACATATACAGACTTTTTTTGGTCTTATTCCCTAAACAAGAAACAACTATTTAAATAGCATTTACATTGTATTAGGCATTATAACCTAGAGATGATTTAAAGTATATAGGAGAATGTGTGTAGGTCATATGCAGGTATTACACAATTTTATAGAAGGGACTCGGGTATCCTTGGATTTTGCTATCTGTGGAGGTCCTGGAACCAATCCCCCTCAGATACCAAAGGATGACTGTAATTGTTCCACTGTCCATAATAGTTTCTGCAAGTTAAGTAAACTCTCATGTAGTGGCCAAATAAAGGAAGATTAACCCACTCTGAAACAGTAAAACATGCAAATTGAAGGTTACTATGAATAAGTTCAGTCAAAAGCAGATGCTTAACACAGGGCTTTAATGTAACACCATTTAATAACGTGACAATTTGAGAAAAGTAGCAAGTATTTTGTGGACAGGAGAAACTGAGGAACACATCTGATGGAGTGGGCATTTCACAACAGGACAGATAACCAGCATGTAAAATCAATGTAAGTGCCTTTTAAAGAGAGCTGAAAAGAGTTGCTGGTCATTCATTAATATGTCAGACATTTAATCAGGAGACTGTACCTTCAACAAAAAACAAAAAAGTGAACCAAGAAAAAACTTTTGTTTTTGACAAAATGCTAAATAACCCTGGACAGGAAAATGAACACTCCAGTGATTTACACTTGTCATTCCACAGCTCAGTTGGAAGAAATTGTTAAGTGTGGAAAATGAATTATCAACAGAGTGAAGAGGGATGATTTCTGGAAATGCAATGATCCCACACATTTGCTCCAAGGAGAAACCTGCAGACATATTTTCAGGTCTTGCTAAGTAACTGTTTATTTGCACTCAATACATTTGGGAAAGTCTGCTACATAGCTAAGGTCACTGTGACCAAAGAACAACAGATGAAAAGAAGAAAGTACTGAACAGCAAGAAAAACACATCCCACCCTCATAAGAATTTAAGTGAACCAGTAAAAAATTGAAGATAAACAAAATAAACAGATACAGCCTTCATCTTTTACAAATATACTTCCTCCCCAATATCTCCCCAATATAAACACTTTGTGGAGTGTTTATATATTCAGTGCAAGGAACAGTATCATCGGTACATTTGAAACACCTCTGAAGAAAGAATAAAGCTATAAAAGATCTAATTCTGAATATACTTTACACTACTGTGATGGGGGAGAAGCTCTGATAGCACCCATCTGCATTCCATATGAAAAAACAAACCTAACACCACTTTTTAAAAAATTCTACAAGCCACATACTAAAAAAAATTTTTTTTTTGAACTGGACTGTTCTGTCATGTAATTTAAGACACAACTGTCACATGAACTGCAAATGAAAAAAAAAAGTTTAGCAGCTACACAAATCAGGTAACTCATGCTCTATGTCAATCCTCCCATCAATACTTTTAGCCTGTGTTCAATTACAGTCAATTCTGAATTGGCCCTCCTCTGGATTAGACTTCTAAAGTCTTTACACAGAGTAAAAGAAATGGATAAAAGTGAAAGATTGTATTCTGTCCTGTACTTTGACCCTGGAAAGGTATGGGCCTGCTTAAAAAAGCAAGAAGAAACATACACGCAATCACAATAAAGCTGAACACTATGCAAAGCTTATAATCATTTTCAGCAATGGACTGCAAGCTGCGCCGTGAAGAAATGCGTAGTAGAGAAAGCTGGGATTTTGGGGGAAAAGGGAAGGAAAACAGTGTCAAAACAGTGGAAGATGTGATGAAAACATCTGCGTCTACTCTGGATCTCACATGTCCTGGTAGCAGTCCTTAAGAAGCCACCAGCTCGAGAAGGCCAGAGCCCAGACACTCCCAATGTGGAATATTAAGGCCCAAGTGCCATATTATGCCACCTCCTCCACTAACTGCAAAACTGTCTGGGAATTTGAGCTATTTCAAGGGCAATAAAACACACACACACTTAAGGTCTAACCAACATCAAGTGAAAAGTTTTCTTCTTTTTATGTCTATTTTTAATACAATTTAAACAGAACCTTTATATAAATTTGGGCTTCCATCCAATCCCTCTCCTCAATTTCCTTAGGAGGAATTGAGTCATGGAAGCAAGCAACACAAAATTATAACCACAAGTGACTGCACTTTAAACATGATTATCAATCTTAAGGGACAGAGACACTTGAATGTTTTCTAATACCAAACTTAAACGAAATGGGTTACAAAAACTGCAATTCATCCCCCTAGCATTTCTACAGGTTGGTGTTATTTCTGCAGGGACAGATTAATATATTAAATTAAGCCAAGATTTTGAAGGCTGGCAAAGTTCTATCACTCTACTTTAAAAAACAAATATGTTTAAAAACAAAACAAAACAAAACAATACAAGTTAGTTGCTTCATGTTACATTTCACAACCATTATGCTAAATGCTTTCTTTCTATAGAAACAGGGTCCTTTATGTCACAACTGCAATTATTTACTGCTAGATGTTTTAAATTACACGGGCTAGTGTTTGACTGGAACCTGTTGAAGGTGACGTCTGGAAGTTCTCTGAGTTTCAACCTAAGGTGTGTCAAGTCCTCTCCTAAGACCACACTTGCAGGGGAAGAGGGGGGAGGAGATCACAGATCAAGTTCTTAAGATAGTTTCACTCTCTTCGCGGTTTTCTGTTTCTTGGTGATCTGTTCAAAATTTCATCCTCCTGTTGGTTGAAAAAAACAAGAAATTCACTAGGATTAACATTAAAAGGAGCAGATACCATGCTTTCACATGTTATCTTGTTTAATCCTAAATAAGCCACTGGCCTGTGGGCACGAGCCTCATTTTAGGGCTGAGAAAGTTGGGTTTCATGGGGACTGAAAGACTATCCAAGCAGAGTCCCACGTTAACACTCAAGTCTACAAGCCCCCCCCTTTTTTTCTATTCTACACAGTGATTTCTTATTGTGGGAGGAAGCCTGGTGAATAAAAAAGCATGAGAGACTGGTCCCCACCTGAAAGAACTCTGCATTCTAGTTAAGACAGAATATATCCACTGAAAATATAAACAGCATTGACCTTTATCAATAGGAAGGTGGAGCTGTGGATGCTGTAAATGGACACTAGGTAGTTTGATTCTGGCAAGAATCAAAATAGAATGGAGCAGAGAAGTGCTTGGAAAAGGGACCTTGCTAGAAAAGGTGTAGACTACTTTTTTTCCCCTCACACCTCATATCCAATCCACCAGAAAATCCAGATCCAGAAGCCCAGAGTCCTCACACCCTCCTTGCCTATCACCCTGCTCAGAACCACCATGTCTAGCTTAGATTATGACAGCAGCCTCCTAATTAGTCTCCTTGATTCTCCCTGGTCTGTAGAAAACATAGCAGTTGGGAGTAATCAGACTGGGTCACCCCAAAACCTGCAATGACTACCCATTTCAGTAGGAGGGAAAGCCAAGCCCATGCAAAGCCTAGACCTAATTAGGTGAGGGCCTAACCTGGAGCCTTCCCCACCCCCGTTTTCTCCTCTTGCTCACACTATCAGCCTTACTGGCCTTCCCGACTACCACTTTAAGCCCTTGTACTGGCTGTCCTCTCTGACAGGAATGCTCTTCCCATGGACATCTCCATGGGAAAGTCCTTGATCTCTTTCAAGTCTTTGCTCAAATGTCACCTCTCCAATGAGTCCTACCACCTTAACACTGCAGCCTACCCCACCTCTAGCACTTCCAATACCTTTTCCTGGCCTACTTTTATTTTTCATGGCCCATGGCTTTTTAACATACTGCTTATTTACTTCCTTATGTCTACTGCTGTGTGTTTCCTCCCGCTAGAATTTAAGCTCCCCAAGGCAGGGTATCTTTGTCTTGTTTGCTGATGGTGCTTGCCACATAATGAGCACTCCACAAATATCTGTATTCTGAAAAAATGCATAAATCCATGAGCAACAGGGATAAAAATTTTAGAATGCAATGATTTGTGCAAGAAATACTTTTTAAGGGCAGTAAGGAGAGGTGGATGAAGAGACAGAACTGTAAAATAAAACAGTTGCCATCTGAAAGCACTTTATTAGTTTTCCCCATAATCTTCTCCTTATTCTAAAAATCATTTTCAGCACAGAAAAAAGCTTGTGAGATTTAGATGTAATGTGAAGTTATAATATGTTGACCTGTACTTCTAAGAATTTCACTTTTACAAAATTGGCTTTAACAGAATTTTTACAGCCACAGACATTAACAATTACTCTATGAAAATACTCCCTCTACTTAAATGTACCTTAAAATATAAAATGTACCCCCCTTCCTGTTACCTCTGCTTTAGGTTTCCTATCTTCCTCCTCTTGACTGACAGTGCCACCATCTTCTTCAGCATCACTTTTTTGTTTCTCTTCTAAGACAGAAGTCAAAGTAAAACAACTGAGTAAAACCTTCCACATGTTTTGAGTAATTAGACAATTACCATTAGAACACATCTAAAACAATCTTGATAATAACTTGCTTATAAGGGTTTGAAACAACATCTTAGGGTCTTGGCTTAAAGCAGGTATTTTGGGATCTACTTCTTACCAAGTTTCTCTTCCCCTTCTTCCTCCTCGTCTCCCTTGTCCTTTTCCTCATCCTTCTCCTCTTCTTCCTCCTTCACATCTGGCTGAGGAGCATCTGTCTTCTTGTACTCCACAGGACTGGACTGTTTCTGAAATATTTCCCACAGTGCAAGTTTTGTCCACAATTTTATGGAGTATGTTAGACAATGACTGAATGCCTACGAGCCACGTTCTATACCAGGCTGCATACTGGGGACAATTCACAGAAATGCGTAAGGTGGACTTCCTGCCCTGGGAGCTTTCTCTTGGGTGAGAGTTTGTGGGGTTCAGGATAGTACGAACCAAGGGGTCAGGCAGAAACATGCAGGTTTAAGTAGTCAAGGTGACTAAGGCACAGACTCGCAGAACAGTGGTGGGGGCTAAGGCTGGAAAAGGAATTTTGGGGATCAAGTTATAAAGCACCTTAAGTGCAAGGTGAAGCAAAATCATTTAGTAGAAGTAGAGTGCCTAAACAAAATTTTTTCTTTTCGACTGCATGTGACAAAGGCTGAACAAGAAAAACTAAACTAAGGCTGTATTACCCCCACATGTAATTTTTGGGGGAAAGGGTAGGGATGCTGAGGGAGGAGTGGGTAATAATTAGAAATCAAGATTGAATTAGAAAGTGTAGGAATAGAAACATCTATGCCAGAGGAAAAGCTGGTTTGTGGCCAGATGGCTGGTTTTATATCTAAGTGTTTTTCTGTTGTTTCCCTCCCTGCCCCAGAAAGTTGTTGCCAAATATTAAGGAGAGTAATACAGTGGCTTAAGTACTACTAGAAACAGAGGGCTACAAATCCTACTCCCATCTGGGCAGTCGATGGCCACTGAGAGTAGTGAATAAGGTTTCAGAAGCCAACTCCAAACGGGGCCCAGTCACTACTGAGCTGCTACAAAGAAAACCTCAGACAACAGATCATATTTTTTTTAACATCATACGAGTTCATTCTGAAAGTGACTCAAAACCAAACCAAACGTCATACCTTTCCAGAACAGCAGAAGAGGATAACGAGAAACACAGGCAGCGCTACTGTCAAAATGTAGACCACCCAGAGCCAGGGGCGCTCCTCGGCCGCCTCGAGCATCTGCCCCACTACACCTGGCTGAAAAACAAGACAGGAACAATCTTTAAGTTCTGGCTTTTGACACCAATACAGGCTGCACCGGCCAGCTGTTCAGATGGTGGCACGACTCAGGCTCTGCCTTTTGTTCAAAGGGTTCAAGCCAAGATGTTCATACAGCATAAAAAGGGGAGAAGAGAAAGTCTCTATTTTCCTGTTGTCCTCCTAATCAAGGTGATTTCCCTTTCATAGGTGTGAAAGCTGGCTTTTTTTTTTTTTTTAAAGATTTTTATTGGGGAATAGGGGGGATGGGAACAGTGCTGGGGAATTGGGGGAAGGGGAACAGACAAGTTGCTGTCTTTTTGTTCTTCAGTCTAGTTGTGGAGGACGTTGCTTCACTGGCCCAATTTGGCACCATCATTGCGCTCTTCCCGGGCGAGGCAGATCCGTCGCCGGCTTCTGGACGGACGCTCACTGCGGCTGCTGGCCGCTCACGCTGGCTGCTGGCTACACACGGTAGCCCATGGCAACCCACTGCAGCAGGGGCTGCAGCCTACGCCGTCGCCGGTGACTCACGGCAGCCCAGCTCCAGGTCGAGCTGTTGTTCAGCATCTTAGCTGTAGAGGGCAGTGTCACTGGCCCTCATATGTGGGATCCGAACCGGGGCCCTCTGGCGTCCCAAGCCAGTTCTTAACCATCGCGCCCCTCGGCCGGCCCTGAAAGCTGGCTTCTTAATCACCAGCAAAAGGCTCCCTTAATTTCAGGGAACCGTGAATGAAGAATTTTTTTATTTTAATGTCTCTAGGTCTTTAATTCACAGCTAGTCATATGACCAACTGTTTGAAAACTCTGCATAGTGGGTAAACCAAGATTCAACACTTAAAAGAGTGCATTAAGGCTGGGCAAGTGGCTCAGTTGGTTAAGAGTTGGTTTAAGAGCGTGAGCTCTGAGCAACAGGGCCACCGGTTTGATTTCGACATGGGCCAGTGACACTGTACCCGAGCTGAGCTGCCAACAGGTGGCAGGATGGCTCAGCTGGTATAACAAAAAGATTGCCTGTTCGATGGTGGGCTATGCCTACCCACAAGTAAGACTGAACTTGGCACCTTGAGCTGAGCTGCCGCCCAGATGACTCAGTGGATAGAGGGTGCGCTCTTAACAACAAGGCTGCCGGGGTTCGACTCCCGCATGGGATGGTGGCTATGCCCACCCGCAACTAAGACTGAACACAGCACTTTGAGCTTAGAGGCCATGAGCTGCTGACGGGAAACCAGATGGCGACTGGCGCCCTCCACAACGAAGACTGAAGAACAACTTGGCTGGTCCCCTTTCCCAATTCCCCAACAATGTTCCCCTCCCCCAATTCCCCAATAAAATCTTTAAAAAAAAAAAGTGCATTAAAATATACTCTGAATGGCAAATTTTGTTAAATATATTTTAACACAATAATAGTAATAAAAATACTCTACATGTAACACAAATAGATTCTAAAGCCACTGCATTAAAGTAATGCAATCATATCCAAAAACCCAGAATTTTGTCTTTAGCAACCCAATTATTTTGTCTTTAGCAGCCATAAGATTATTTTTTATGCCAATACACCCAAATAAGGGAAAAGACAAAACCCAGAAGATAGGTTTACATAAAAGTAGCAATTAGTTACCTGTAATTACAGGTATAAATGCACAAGAAACAGTGAGCACAAACCTCGGCAGCCCCATCGGCAGCTTTCTTCAGACCCCATCCATCACGGGCCCAATCATCAACTACTCTTCGATCGCCACAAATAATAAAGTTGTCAAAAAAAATGTCTGAGGTCATGGACCACAGTTCCAAACCAACAGCACTAAAAGGAGTCATTTTGAAAGGTTCCACATCTTCAAAGAAATCTGGATTTGGTATTTTCCGGGGCTTCCAGATTCCCTAGACAAAAATATTTTAAAAAATCATTTCAAGTAATGATCAATACAACTTATGGTGAACCTAAATAAGAATTAAGATAAATTCTGCATGATAAATGAAGATAAGTGCTGACTTTGTGAAACCTAATTAAGTAACAGGAAGAAAACAATAAATGCTAATGTTTAAGCCACACACTCGGCCTCTAAGATGTCTGGATTCCAAATGCTTTCAATTTCTAGTATTATCCATGACCTTGATTCAAATCAACACCTCACTCTGCCTTGCACATTCCAACAGCCTCAAGTCTTATCAACTATTGTAGTTTGCTAGTTAAGAGCGGGAGCATATGTTGGTACAGGCTTCTTTAGTGGTGATTTAAAATATACATGATCTTCAACCAGCAATTTCACCTCTAGATAACTACCTAGAGAAATGGTCACCACATACACCCAGACATGCACAAGGATGACGACTGCACCAAGGACTCAATAAGCAAAAAATGGCAACCCACGTAAATGGCCATCAACAGAAGAGCCAAAGGGCAGTGTTTTTTAAGGGCAGTTTTTAACTAATCTTACTGTTTGACCACACAATAAAAAATACATTTTAAAACAGAAAAGTATACACATTGCACACACAGACACAGACCTAAACCTTACATTTTGAAGTGCAATAAAGTGGAAATTAATGATTATAAATCATTTGATTAGGATAGGAACAGAAGCAAAGCCAGGGTCCGAGTAATTACATGTCCATAGTAAACATGAAGCTTTATAACATCACTACTTGTATTCTTATCATCTCATTTGAACCTCACAGTCTTTTTCCAGTTCAAGATAACGAGGTCAAGCAACGAGCTGATTTGTGGTTGGGAAACCAACTCCCATCACAGTCCCCTCTGCACCCCATCACACAGATTGCCAATTTGCATCTTGTGGCTACAGCACTGCACCACACGATAGCAGGGTGCCCAAACTGCAAGTCTGCCATTTTTTTCCTGTTTTTAAACATAAGTTACAAAGTAATTACGAAAGCTCTTCTTTCCAGTTTCTAGGTTTATCTTTTCAACATTGAACACATTAATTTATAAAGTTTACTTTGTAATTCAATAGCTTGAAAATAGTGATCAACCTGGCAGCCTCACTACAGAGAAAACCTCTATTTGAACACAAGCATATCTATGAAGCACAGCCAGGGCACGCACCTGGTAGTTAGGATTGTCAATCATGGGGGGCTTCCATTTGCCCTTATAATTAGGGTTGTCAATCATAGGTCGCTGCCAGACACCACACCCAGCGGCCGACTCACACTTAGGATTGGCAATCTGAGGGGCCTCCCATTCTCCATCCATATCTTCATCCCTGCAGAAAAATAAACTAATTAAAAACGGGTTCTGTGATGCAGGATTGTGAACTACCGTCCCTGGGCTCCCTCGAAGGCCTGTAGGAATACTTTCAGCTATGAGCATCGTCTCATTTCTGCATTTCTAGTAACAAGGAGTTTTTACAACATTAAGAGATATGAAAATATAATTAAATCTGTTGAGCTCTACACTTAAGTCTGGGCACTTGGCTGTACTGAAGTATAAACTTTGACTTCCATAAAGGAGCATGTCATTTAAACAGCTGGCTAAAGCACTCACCAATCCTCTGGCTTCTCTGCATCTGGGTCAGCTACATATTCGGGCTCATCATCCAACCAGCCACCAGGCTTGGTGGCTTCCTCATCGGGAATCTTAGCAGGGGCATCTTCATCCCTTAAACACACAAGAAAAAGCCAGTTAATGACAACACTGGCCAGAGAATCACAGTGTGGTACCAACAGGGCAACCTAAAAATATTTAGGTCTTAATTTCAAAACTTAAAATTCTTGGGCTGGCCGAGTGGCTCAGTTGGTTAAGAGCGTGAGCTCTGAGCAACAGGGTCACTGGTTTGATTCCCACATGGGCCAGTGAGCTGCGCACGAGCTGAGCTGCCAACAGGTGGCAGGATGGCTCAGCTAGTGAGAGCTCGTGCTCCTAACAACAAGGTTGCTGGTTCAACTCCCGCATGGGATGGTGGGCTATGCCCACCACAACTAAGATTGAACACAGCACCTTGATCTGAGCTGCCCTGAGGTGCCGACAGGTGGCCAGATAGCGACTGGACTTGGAGCTGAGCTAGCTGCGCCCTCCACAACTAAGATTGAAAGACAACAACTTGGCTGTTCCCCTTCCCCAATTCCTCAATAAAATCTTTAAAAAAATACAAAAAAAACCCCACCATAGCCAATAAGGGGAAACAACCTAAATGCTAATCAACTAAGAGATGGATAAATAAAACTGGTATTATCCACACAATGGACTATTCAGTCATAAAAAGGAATGAAGCACTGACACATGCTCCAACATGGATAAACCCTGGCAACACTACGCTAAGTAAAAGAAGCCAGACACAAAAGGTCTCATGTCAGTCTACGTCCAGAATGTGTAAATTCATAGCCAGAAAGTAGGGAATGTAGAAGTAGAGAGTAACTTCTTAATGGGAATGGCTTTCTTTTTGGGTGATAAAAATGTTCCGGAATTAGACAGTGGTGATGGTTGCACAACATTGTTAAGTATACTAAGCCCCTAAACTGTACAACTTAAAGGGGTAGATTTTAGTATGTGAATTATAACTCAACTGGTTACTTCCAAAAGAAGAGCATAACAAGAAGTACCTACTTTCAAAGTTTCGGGCAGCTGCTGCAAGGTGGTGCCAATTTAGTTGAAAAGCAAGGACATCATCTATCCTTGGTCAGGATTATGCTTATTTTTTGAACTATGCTACTTTAATTGTGTGAGAGCTTGAACTTGTATAACATTCAGCTGACCCTTTTAAGTGCAACATTCACACCCTCGCCCTCAAAATAAAACAGCTAGTTAAGGAATACAATACTGGAACAACAAGGCTGAATCCAAAACTAACCAAATACACAATTAAGCTTGGCATTTACACTAGATGTAGCAGAAAAGTTCAGGTACCCATATCTTAATTTTAAGGGAGGAAAAACATCCATTAGAATTTCTTTCCCAAGATTAAGAGAGACCTTTACAAATGAAAATTTGCTTTATTATTTGCTTGTTCACTTTCTGGCATTTCCCAAAGTCACTGTATTGCGTTCACACATGGCCATATACAAGAGCACCACCCGCCAAGTTCTCATTTACCATCACTCCCCAGTCTGTCCTCTACATAAAAGGCCACATGTACCCCACTTCTCTCATATGTTTCAAGCTCACTCCCGCTCTCCTCTGCTTTTGCACCTCATGTTCTTCTTCAACCAGGAACACCATTTCCCATCTTTATCACTTAGTTAATTCTTGCCTACTTCCTAGTCTCAATTTGACTGGCCCTGCTCTGAGAAAACATCCCTGGATTTGGTACACCTGGTGTCCTGGTCACCAAGTACCACCTACTATTAGACCACTCACATATGCATGCCAACTTCATTTATCTGCCTCACAACTGAACTGGGTGCTGTGTGGGCAGCTGGGGTCCTGTGGCTTTAGATTCCACTGCCCAGCACAGAGCAGGGATCTCTTGAGTTTTGTTTAAATAGGAAGAAGATTGTTTTTCAAATTAAAATTTAAAACTTCAGGACACCAGCTTCAATGTGAATTCATAGAAGCACTAGAAAAAGGCCAGGCCAAGAGACCTGAGGTTCTGCCACAAAACAACCATGTCAGCACAGGCAAACTCATCAATTTCAGTATTTTGTTGACTGTAAAATGGTGTGAGGCAATACAGGTTATCAGTATGGCCCCCTTTCAGCTACGGTGGTCTACATTTTTCCTACCATTTAGACCAACTGCATCATAGATCATTGAAATCATCAGATCTCAACCAACATTCAATTGTTCAAGCCACATGGAATACACGAAACGCTCCGTTGCACTCAAAGACTCACCAGTCATCTGGTTTGACAGCATCAGGATCTGGTATTTTTGGTCTTTCATCCCAATCCTCAGGCTTCCGGTCTTCTGGGTCCTCAATTTCACGTGAAGGATTTACAGGAGGAGTCATGTCATTTAGTAGATTTCCACTGTTCACAAGAGATTGGTCCACTAATATTTCAAAGCTATTATCTGGATTCAAGACTGAAAAAAAATTAAATGCAACTTTGAAGAGTTAACTAATTACTCATTCCAAGCTCTCCTTACAACACAAAAGATCACATTTCTAACAGAAGTGGGAAGCGTGGAGTAAAGACCTCAGGCAACAGAATCAGAACGGTTCTTGGGGCCTTAGGCATGTTAACCCTCTTTTCCTTATCTGTAAATCCTACAAGCTAGGTCCTCAGATCTTTAGGAATTAAAACAGATGATAAAATGTAAAACACCAAAAGACTTCATTTAAGAATATTAAAAACATCAAAAAAACCAAAGGTACATAAAACTAATGCAATATTGGCCTGACATAAATGGTTACATACCAGTCAACAGGCAAATAAATTTATTTATTATAAACATCCCAGCGAAAAGGTCCATTTCCTCGTTTTTTTGAGTTGGTATTACCACCATCTATGTCACCAAAATTTCAAATTGCACTAAACTTTTTATTTATTAAACCACATGTCTACCCATGGTTGTATTTTTGAAGTCCAATGGAGAATGAAAAAACACAATTTTAAATCCATCAAGGTATCTTAAGTGTGACTTATGCTAAAGTCTGGATCCCACACCTAAATGTCTAACTGGCAACTGACTGGGTCACAGCACTGCTAGATACTATGCAAGACAATGGAGTACATACTATGCCGCCGTTACCAATGATGATGAAGGTAGCAATGTTATCAATATGTATTCTCATGGAAAGATTCCCACACTTGTAAAGTTAAGAGAGCAAGTGAAATATAGGCTATTTAACTTTCAATAAAAAATTACATGTGTTTATACACGTACACGTGTTTATTCACAAAAGGCCAAATACATATCACAATGTTAGTATTTCAGGTAATTCTGAATGTCTTCTTTATATTTATTTCTATCTTCTGAATTTACATACTGAATATGTATTACTTTGTTATAAAGAAAAAAGGTTATTGTATTGTTTTGGTTTTTTTTAGCTGAGCCATCCTGCCACCTGTTGGCAGCTCAGCGGCAGCTTGGCTCGGGCTGTGAATGGAACTTCTGACCCTGTTGCTCAGAGCTCGCTCAAGAGTTCTTGAGCGAGCTCTTAACCAACTGAGCCACTCGGTCAGCCTATTGTATTCTTTAAGAGGCATGTCTGTGTGATCTCAAAGCAGCAGAAAAACCTCCATTAAAAAAAAAAAAATCCATTCCAATGTCTAAATGATTAAACTCAATTGTCCAGATGTTGGAGCATCCAAGCAAACTTCATCTAGAAGATAATTTGAAAATACTGTATATATTTCTACTGTATGTCCTATAACTTAAAATTTTATCAACAAGAAAATAAACAAAGTGTGGAAATGAGGGCATCAGCAAAGAAGCTCTTTATGGGACACAAAGTTGCCTCAAACCCCAACTCTCAATTCAAACTGAAGAGAAGCTTCTTTTCATGCTGAGAAATTAAGCTCATTTCACTACTAAGATATTAAGTCAACAGAGACTCTGACTTGCTGGCTTGGGTCTTCTTCAGGTGTGCAATCTTAACGAATGATAAATCTGTAGGGCCATAAACCTCCCCAAATTATTGGTTTTCCTTACTTAAAGTATAAAGATGTGTTTTCTTATCAGTAAAATAGGTCTTCAGATCTGCATCTGGCCTTTTAGCGTGCTTTTCTTCATATACGCCCGTTTTGGGGTTTTTGTGGCGGAAGATGAAGTGCAACTTATAGTCCTCTCCACATTTATCTGGACCAAACATGATCGTATAAGGCGTCTTGTCATGGAACTGGTCCTTCAGAAACAAAAACAGATTATTTTAAGTAAATCAGAGTGTTCAAATAACTTTTCAAAAGTATGTTGTGTCCTCTTATAAAATTCCAAATAAATTAGTATCACATTAAAGGGAAAGGCTGATTTGTGTACAAGATTAATCTAAATACCAGTGAAAAGGAATAATCAGAAATTACCAGGAAATTTTACATGAGAAAAGTTAACATATATATCTAGATAGCTACTGCTTCTTTCATAAAACAAAGAAATACATTTGCTACAACTACCAATTACACAGAACAGAAACCAGGGATAAGACACAACAGCTCTGAAATTCACATTTCAGATAAAAAGCACAGAAATGTCAAAGTCAACATTTCCTACCATCTAAAATATTTCAACAGAAGAGGCCTTTATTTTCACAGGTCTTACAAATTTTCTTTTCGTTTCTCTAAGAGTCTTAAAAAGTAATTTTGGGTGGCCACATAAAGAAATAGGAAGTACCCACCAGGTTGAGTTCTGGGGTTTTGGAAAGCAGTTTCACATACGCACCACCACATTCTATTCCATTTTGGAAATTAACCTCATACCTAATTTCAGAGAGAAAATAGAAAACCATATGGCACTTTGAAAGATCAAATTTCTTATTTATTTCCCCTTTCCCCATCTTTGTCACAGGTTTTATCAAAGATCATATGTTTATCCTTAGGAAAGACTCCATCTTCTATTGCTTTTGAATGGCTATTGCTTTTAAATGGCTTCCCAATCCCCCACACACACAAAAAAATAAGTAAAATAAAATGAAAGCTTAATGCAGATTTTCAGCAAGTACTTTTTGCAAAATCCAGTTCATATGTTATCAGGAGGAAGAATATCCAGTTTCTTTCAAAATAATTTACCGGGCAGGAAAAAAATATTAGATTACAGGATGCTTAAATACACTGAAAAAATCCCTATTACATATTTCTCATAATTTTCTTATGTAGATTAATAGTTTGATAATGTCTTCTGAGATCACCCTTCCTAGAAAGCTTCTATCGAAGACGAATTTCACTTACTGAACAATGAGAGGCTTGGTATCAAACAGGAAGGGCTTGTTCAGTTTAGCGGAGATGGCATGATGCTTGGCCCGAGACATCAATACAAGTCCTTTATCACCTGGAAGCTTAGTGTCCTTCATTTCATCTACCTCCCATTTTCCTATAAGACAAACACAAAAAGGTCCACTCCTGAACTATACCGTTGAAGATTCTTTAAATGGTAAAAAACAAAACTCCAAGTTGTGCAAGCATATCATACTGACATATTTTAACACATGCCATGTACCTATGAGAGCTGGCCTAGTAATATTAAACACACATAATTTGACAAATATTAGGATATGGTTTTTAAAAACCTGTAGCATATTTATTTTACCAATGCCTAGGAAAGACCTTCCACTTTCAATATGCAACAGCACAGGTGATAAATTATGTGTCCGTTTTATGGTGTAAAAAAGACAGGTCTAACCCTATAAAATATAATGGAATACAAGAAAGGTAGCAAAACTTCTAAGGAAAAATCTTAAAATGTATACATACTCCTTTTAAACTAGTCTTAAGAGATACCACGGAGGGGCAGCCAGTTGGCTCAGTTGGTGAGAGCGCAGTGCTCATAACACCAAGGTTGCCAGTTTGATCCCCATATGGGCCACTGAGTTGCGCCCTTTACAACTAGATTGAAACAACTACTTGACTTGGAGCTGATGGGTCCTGGAAAAACATACTGTTCCTCAATAAAAATTAGAAAAAAAAAAAAAA